GTAAAAACCGTAGACTTCTCTAAATGTATTTTTAATATCACAATTACATTCCGAATCGCTAGCCACAATATAAGGGCTACAATTAAAAATAAAATAACAACAACTTACTCACTGAAATAAAATGTGTGGTGCATGTACCGGTACATACCTGGTACAAAATATTCTTCAATTGTACGAATATACTTTTAAAGAAAATTATAATTAAATATAGCTCTGTAAAGAAAAGTGCATAAAAATACAAAATATTCTTTACTTTTTAAATCTTAAAACAATGCACTTAGTCAAATAGCTCCCTATGAGTGGCTAATAGAGGGAATCGAAGACGGTTGCAGAGCGTGCAAACACGCAGACTGCCAAATCCCCAGGGTGCCGATACCGGTCAATGTCAAATACCTCTTTTGTCGCATCACTAGTATATCTCAAAGGACGCGACAGGGCTGTTGTAGATTTTAAACGTTTCTCACCATAGCCATAAAAATCTAAATACAGTAGAGCGTCGTTTATTTGAATCAATTGGAGACTGGGGTTGTTCGGATAACTTATTTTTTGGATAACCGATTACATACGAAAAAATATATTAACCTATCCCATGTTGAAATTTTTTTCCATTGCGTGTCGCTTTGCGTTGAATTTTCGTCGATGTTAAGCTTAACATAAACTTTTTAAAATAATAATCGTGGCTATTGTATCGTTAAAAATTATTTTTTTATTTTTTACAAACAAAATAAATATATTGAAAAATATAAAAACAAAAAAAATTATACTTTAGAAATTAATGTAGTATCAAAAACGTTCGATTCAGCATAACACACAGTCCTCAGAAAAACATCACAAAAAAGCGCCAGTGCTGCCAGCTAAAACACATACACAAACAAAAAAATATTGGATTAGCCCAAGACATAGCCAAAGATTGCAGCGCCACAGCACTAGCGAAAATTTAAATTTGCTGACTGGAATGCTTTCGGATAAATGATGCTCTACTGTATGTTAAACTTAATAGTCATTTGTTTTCTAACTAATTCGTTTTAGGACCAAGGGTCCTCAGAAATTTTCAAAATTTACAACTTTTTGGTCACTCTTGTTGAACTGGAAAAATTTCTGTCTTTATTACATTAATAATACGAATAAATCAGTCTCCACTATACTTGGCTAGAGATGGTTCGGTTAAGTGTTTGTTTAAGTAAAATCTCGGCTCTTTTGTCAGGGTTTTGTTTATGTCCCCAATTCCCTAATCGCTTAATTATTTAACTACTTCTTAAGTAGAAATAAGTCAAAACCAGTTACTTTGTACTCGAATATTTGTAGTCTCGGGAAAAAAGTGGAAAGACAAATTTTTATGACAAATGGATACATAAATCGTAAATTTAAGGAAAATAAATTCTAGAGCTTTTTGTGTACCTCGTGCATCTCTCTCATTCATTAAATTTAGTTGTAAATGATGCTGTCAAAGTAACGGTTAATTTTTTAACATTATACAAGAATTGTACACATTTTTTTCTACATCCCCTTAAAGATGGGATATACGAAATCGTAATATCACTGGTTTAACATTGAAACACAGCTTCCCTATTATCAAATGTCACGGCACGCCCCTGTATATATTACTTGTATATCTTAAAATTTGTTACCACTGTATTATTTCTTAAGAATGGTTCTGCATGTCTGTGGTATGTAGCCAAAAATTGCCTTGTATTACCCATTGAAGACTACAATGTTTCTTTGGGAGTAGACTGATTAACACACAGCACTCAATTTGTCTGTTTTCCTAACTAAATTATTGTACACACGTCTAATGTTATCGGTAAAGAGAAGAGTATTTTTAACAAAAAGGTAAAAGAATTGAATTTTTATTTGAGTTTACCATAAAAAAAAATACTAATAATTAATTAATCTCTCTGCAAAGCTAGCTACAAAAAAGACACACATTATCATATTTATAAAAAACAAAAAATAAACAGAGCATTCTAATGTAATTTTATTCAACACTACTCTGACTTAACGTAGAAACACATCAGACTACTTATTGGATAGGTAATTGATCAAATGAAGTGTCTGAAACCAAAATTAAAAAAGCTTCCAGAATAGGAGCGAGCCAAAAATCTGGAACATTTGCAATTTCATTATGTGATTTAATGTAAAAAATTAAAAAGTTACGTATACTCTGTGAATTCTTCAGATATAAATTACATGATTATTGGATACAAAACTATATTTTTAAATTTGTGGTTTGTGCACAGTACGATGGTCACGAGGAAAATTTTATAAATGATTCTCAACACATATATTAGACTCATGTAAAAAAAAAGAATTTGTGTCCAGCATATAAAAGTGATGTAAATTAAATTTTAAAATACTTTTTATTCTATTGTTCTAAATAGAATTTCATATAAATTACATCAACAAATATATTATATGCAAGTGCTTTCTTTGTGTAAACGAAGAAAGAAAATACAAGAACTTTTTGTATGAACAGTTTAAAATTATATTCCGATCTCAAGTTTTAATGAATGATACAATTTACTTTGAATTAATTAATCTAATTTTAAAGTTTAAAATATGACACTTGAATAGATACTAAAATCTGTTTAAGAATTGTCCAAGTATGGCATAATGTTTATATATACATGACAATGGTAAAAGTGTTTCTGAAACACGATCTAACACAAATTTATACAAATTGTATTATCTTTAAATGATGATAAAAATATTAATTCCGTTCTTAATACTATAATAAATTAAAAAAAGTCTAGCAACGAAAGTTGCGTAACTTTCCCGGCTGTTATAAAAGTTAGTTTGCTTAATAATTATGAGTTTTTATTAAAAAAAAGGTGGTGTGTGTGGGGCACTATCCATTATCATATTTTGTTATAAAAACTTTTTATGTCTTTAATTACTATAAAACAGCAAAACACTTAATGAAGATTTTATTCATTACAGTAGAGCATTGATTATCCGACTCAATTGGGGACTCAGGTTAGTCGGATAACTGAAAAGAATGAAAAAAAAATACATTATTAATATAGTATATTAGTATATCCCATGTAATTAGTATATCGCTATTAACCAACTTTGCATTGAATTTTCATTGATGTTAAGCCTAACAATTTTTTTTAAAAAATAATAATCGTCGCTATTGTATCGTTAAAAATTATTTTATTGCTCACAAAACAAACAACCACTCATAAAAGTCTTGTTTAAATACTGGCCTCCCTTCAATGGTCGAGCTGTTGATGCCAGCTAAAACACGCAAAAATTTAACAAAAATAATATTAAAGTAGCCAAGACATAGCCAAATATTGTAGTGCCACATCACTAGAGGACATTTGAAATTTGCCGACTAGAACGGTCGGTTAACTGATGTGATAGTTAATCAGGAGTCGGATAATCGATGCTGTACTGTGTTAACATTGTTCTACCCTCTTGAGATAAATGACCCCTCTATTTTCCCACCCCCTTGACCTTTCACCACCAAAATTTAATAACTTCAATTCCCCTGATATACAATCCACCATGCCAAATTTTGTTTCTTAGTATTTACCCCATCCTGAGATATTAAGCCAACAGATGCCAACACACCAAATTTTTTTTTGGCCTTTTCTTTTTACTTGGACTTGGGAGGGGTCAAAATGTGGAGATTTGCAAAAAGCTCCAAGGGTCAAATTTGACACAATTTCAATACTTTCCCTCATTATGTATACATAACAGCCGGGAAAGTAAAAACCAGAGGTTTCCTAATCTGGATATAAAAAACACATTTACTATTGTGACAAATGAGAATCTGTGATTGGATGGGTTTGCAGCTGCAAAATAAAGAAAAAAAATTTTGTAAATTATGCTGCAACGTTAAATGTCTAAATGCGTAATGTTAATTGTCATGTTTACCGTTATGATCTGCTGCTTGATGGAATCTCCAGAACCAATGCCATTCCCATTACTTGAGATCACTTTTAATGGCGAATGTATCACGATTACGCTTCCCAGATTCGAAAGCACTTGCGTTCCCTTTAATCCCTCGACTATCACCTGAAATACGTTACATATTTGAGCGGTTATAATTTATTAAACAATAAAGAAGAATTGGAAATTTAAATACCTGATGAGATAAGAGTGGCTGATTTGTCATTTCTAACGAGGATGTATTGTTAAAAGGAATGCTAAAAGTAAGTTGTTGCTGTTCTTCTGCATCATTCTCTAAGGCCGGTAATACTTGTGATGTTACTGAATCTTGCGTCTAAAATGAAATAATGTTGCATAAAATTTTCTACATTAAATTTGAGAAAGAAACATAATTAAAAATTACAATTCTAATTCATTAAATTGTTTGTGTGTATATATATTAATATATATATTTGGAATTCTAAACATTTCCCAAGACTTAAATCTATAAAATGCAGTCTGAGAAAATCAATATAATTGGATGATGGTAGGTTACAAAATTTTAAATCTATTATTTTTTTAATAATAAATGCTGAATATTTGGATTCAGAATAATTTCATTTTGCACAATTTCAATACAATAGTTGAATGTTTTAATAATACTTTTTTTTTTATGTTAAAAACCACAGATTAGAAGAATAATTTCAATATTGTACTAGCTGAAACACAAAATTAGAAAATCTATACATCAGGATCTTCCAAAAAGAATGCTACCATTTTAATTATTATTCAAGGATGTTGTAACATAAGTTAAAACATTGGAAAACTGTTCAAGTTTTGCATTTGCCCATCACAATTTCTCAATGTGTGCACCTCTTGTCACATGGAACAAATTCTTACACAGGCTATGGCATACCCAGTGTCACTCCTCTCACAGCAGCCACAGCCACAATTCTATGGCTCATATGGATTACTTGTGTTGCACGATGATGAGTGATAATGACTTTGTATGCTGCGGAACACACACTGCCTTCTCTGTTGTGGAATAGCCACTTGCTAGCAATGTTTCCTACAGGTAGTATGCGATGAGATGCTCGAATGCGTATGGGAGATCAGATGATTACTCTATTGATTGGTGTTATGTTGCATATTTCTCAGATAATAATTAACATAATTAAAGTAATTTAAAATAGTAGCATTTGTTTTCAAAGAACCTGTATATCATATATTTTCATTTGTAATGGAAGACTTTGTATTTAACACAAAAAAAGAAACTAAGTATTATATTAAAGAAAACTATCAATGGAAAGGTTTTAAATCTGTTAATAACATCTATAATATTTAATGAACATTCAAACATTTTCTTTTTTGTTACAAAATGGAAAGGATAAATGATTCTACAGAATCCATTAATTATAAATGGATTAACTACAATCTCTTTATTTTAGGAATTTTATAGAAAATATATTCGTCTGAACATGAAAATACTTAACACATGTTAAACTACTAAAAAAAATACTTAAAATTTATAAGTCATAATTACACAGAATAATTTGTTTAACTGTTCATTACAAAGTATGGATATTATAACTGGTAGATAATTTTATATTTTATAAAATTAAATTAGCATGTACAAAACTAAAATATCAGAATATATCACAATATAAGAATTATATAAGTAATTGAATGATTTATTAAATAAATGCAAACCTCTTGCTTTTTTGTAGTTAAATCTTTCAGTTTCTGTGCTTTATTATTATTATTTATAGAACTTTCATTTTCTTCTATAAGATTTCCCTAAAATCATATAAATTCTATATAAATAACAATTAAAAATAAATGTATGTATGACGCCAATATGTTATCTTACCTTCAGTGCACTTTCTTCAGAGAGATTTACGTGATTCTGTGACACACTTTCCATATTTGTCTGAAGAGTGGTAATCGGTAATGAATCGGATGTTGAGACAGATTCTGTACAAATATTCAGAGCTATGTTGTTCGACGACATTATTGTTTCGCACAAAAATGCCAAAGTTCCATCTTCAATATTTTCGGGTCTGAAAATGAATTTATCAAATTATTTCAAAAGTAAAAATAAGATGCAATAAATTTTGATTTTATATTTGAATTTCAATTCATTGCCAGAATGAAAAGAACAATCAAGTTAAATTAATATCATTTGCATTTTTTAAAATCTAAATAATATGTTTTAATGAGCAATGTTTTCATAAAAAATGCATAATGTCTTATTACAAAAATGTCACAGTAAATGTGTTAAAGGAGCACTATACCTATTCAATTCTAGCAAAAGTTAAACTATTGAGAGATTCAGTAAAAAAAAAAAAAAAACCACTAATTTTTAATTTTAACAGCAAATATCCAAGCTTCACCAACAATCTTTCCTGTTGTTCAAACTTTTATGTGAAATTAAAAAAAAATAATGTTTTAATCCATACAATTAATTATAAAAATTAATCACATTCAATTAATTTCTTTCTTTTCAATAGTAATTTAATTAAAAATAAAATTTGTTTGAATTTGTATTGACAAGTATCTGGGAATTGATTGGCATAAATAAATTTCTGATTGCTTTCTTATTCATTTTTATAAATTGAATGTAATTTTCCAATCAGTTAGGTACAATTTGAATGCAAAGGGTTTATGTTTTATAAAAAGAAATGTAGGTGTCCAATGCATATAAGTGACAAATTGTAACTTACTTCTTTTTGTTGATATCAGTAAAAATGAAATTGATGAAAGTTATAAAGCAAAACTGAGATAATGTCCAATGTGCTGGGTAATAAGCTGCCATGCATATACATCATGTTATGCAAGGAAACCAACTTCCTCTATTACACATATTCCAGTCAGTGTACTTGCAGTTTCATGGCTATCGAAACTAAAATAAAAACTTTGTGTTTTGCTTTTGCTTTTCTTGTTATTTTTATAAAGTCTAAAACATATAAACTTATCAAATACATAAATTTATAATTACAAATAAAAATTTACAATTGACAACTGAATAAATTTAGTGGTAAATTCTTAGCAACCTCCCTCCCAATTTTTGACAATTTCTTGATTAGTAGATTACAAAAATAAAATGTTTCTTTTGAATACTATAAAACAATTATTTCTGTTGAATACTATAAAACAATTGTTTTAGTTGCGTCCACTCTTTCAAATGGTGTCTGGCATTATAAATAATTCCCGTGCACATTTTGCAGGCTGCGGCATGAAGGGTAACAATCTGGCTGGCACTTAGCATCACTAAACAGTCGATGTACTAAATTTTAGCACCAGTTTAACTCTGTACAACATGTACCACAGACAGTTATCAAGATTGAAGAAAACTTTAATTGAACTCATAAGTTGAGAGCAATCTGAAACCTTTAAAATTGGAAAAAACACTAATATTTGTGTGAAACAGTGTGTGTATTGTATATATTGTGTATATATATATATACAGGTAGGCCTCCTACAATGCGGTACCTTTAAAATGCATTTTCACTCCAACGTGGTTGGAAAAATGTGGAAATTTTCTTACAACATGGTTTAGGGTATTTAGAAACGAATTATCTGTCACATAACAGAAAAACTGCAATGGATCACATGACAGGCACCGCAATTCGGTGTACAGAGCTAAATGTCCTTGAGAACAACTGTTTGTCAATGTTGGCATGTTATTCCCATGAAAGTTTCAGGGGAAGACCAGTTTCTAGACAGATGTGCATTAGTTACCATAAATACTCAAATATATCACTAAATTTTCGATCATTTATACTCTTTCAATAGGTGAGATTGCAAAAATGGTCCAAAATACAGTATAAACTTCTATTGGGTGTATATTTTTAAAAACATAGTGAAGGGAAGTTATTTTTTGCAATTTTTACTGTCCACAAAACTGACTGAAAAAATTTTAGCCATAACAATGCTGAATGAAAAGAAAGGACCGTTGTTAAAAAGGAAATTTATCTCTCTTCAAACAAAGATAGAAATTTTGGATCAAATTAAAAATCAAGAATGGATAGCTGATATTGATAGGCATTTTAATTTAAATGAGTCAACTATTCGGTTGATTAAGCAATCGAAAGAAAAGATTAGGAATTTTGTCACATCCGGATCATCTATTCTTATGAAAAATGTTGCTCGTCCGAGAGCACCTATAATGGAAAAAATGGAACAAGCACTAATATTATGGGTAGAAGATATGAACAAGTAACGGTTTCCTTTAAACAAAAGTGCACTTAAACACAAAGCCTTAAAAATATTTGATTATTTAAAACAAATGGGACAGTAGTCAGCTGATGAAACCAGTGTTAAATTTGTCACTAGCAATGGCTGGTTTGAAAAATTCAAAAAACGCCATTAGTTGCACAACATACACATACAAGGGGAAAAGGCCTCTGTGGATGAGGATGCAGCAAAAAAATATCCAGCAGAACTAGCAGATATTATTCAAACAAAGAGTTATTATTAACAAAGTGTTTAATGCTGATGAAACAGCATTAAACACTTTGTTAGCTAAATAACCCTTTGTTTGAATAATAGGATTATCCAAACAGGATTATCATGGAAAAAATGCCTAACAGGACATATATCTCAAAAAATGAAAAAAACACCCCTGGCTTTAAAGTTTCCAAAGATCGCATAACTCTACTATGTAGTAACATGTCTTGTGATTTTATTACCAAGCCAATGTTCATTCATTGAGCACTAAATCCATGCTCGATGAAACAGTGCAACAAAAATGACCATCTTGTGTATTGGAGAGCCAACAAAAAGGCATGGATGACTGACCATTTATTTAAGGATTAGTTTCATAATTGTTTTGTTCTGGATGTAGAAAATTATTTAAAAAGAAGAACTTAGCATTCAAAGTCCTACTAATCTTAGATAATGCACCATCACATCCAGTTGATTTAAATCATCCCAATGGTTTGATTTGCATTTTTACCACGCAACACCACTCTACTATTGCAACCCTTGGATCAAGGAATCATAGCGACTTTTAAATCATATTATATCCATAAATCATTTGAATTAATTTTGGAGAAAATAGATTCTACAGATATTACAGTCAGTGAAGTTTGGAAACAATTTTCAATTTTAAATTGTGTAGAAATTATTGGCTCATCCCTAAAAGAAATGCACCAATCGACTCTAAATGCTTCCTGAAAGCTTTATTACCAGAAATGGTCAGTCAGGAAAATGTTGTTGAGCCAATTCAGCATGAATATAACAACATAGGAGCCTTGCACACTCAATAGGAGGTGTTGGATTCACTGAAATAACTGTTGATGATATTCTAGAATTAGTTATGGAAAATGAAATAAACGAAGCAGATTTGGTAACAGTTATATCAAAACATTACCATCTGAAGATCTTTTCAATTAAGAAACCAAAAATTTCACTCTGAAAGGTATAGAAAAATGTTTGGACATGGCAAAACAGATGGAATCTTACTTTTTAGAGAATGATCCTCTGCTGGAGAGAGTGGAAATATTTAAAAGAAATATTCAAAATTGCTTATCTGCCTAACAAGAAATTTATAAAGATTTACAAAGCAAGAGCAAACAATCTCTAATGACAGATTTTTTAAAACCTAAACCTACTGTAAATGCAGTGGAACTTGTCAATGAAACAAGCTCAGATCTTGAAATAAGGCCAGTCAAATGTTCTCGAACAACTATAATATGTGACAATGAGGACTTAATTTGTGAGCATAACATTATGTTTCTTCTTGATTTTGACTTAAAATCAAAATCTTTTTAGTTTTTATATGATGTTGAATTTTATTTAAGTTTTTTATGAAAGGTTTTTATGTACATAAATTTAAAAAAATGATGAAAATGTTACACCATAAAAGGCAGTTTTTCTCTTTTTAGAACNAAAAAAAAAAAAAAAAAAAAAAAAAAAAAAAAAAAAAAAAAAAAAAAAAAAAAAAAAAAAAAAAAAAAAAAAAAAAAAAAAAAAAAAAAAAAAAAAAAAAAAAAAAAAAAAAAAAAAAAAAAAAAAAAAAAAAAAAAAAAAAAAAAAAAAAAAAAAAAAAAAAAAAAAAAAAAAAAAAAAAAAAAAAAAAAAAAAAAAAAAAAAAAAAAAAAAAAAAAAAAAAAAAAAAAAAAAAAAAAAAAAAAAAAAAAAAAAAAAAAAAAAAAAAAAAAAAAAAAAAAAAAAAAAAAAAAAAAAAAAAAAAAAAAAAAAAAAAAAAAAAAAAAAAAAAAAAAAAAAAAAAAAAAAAAAAAAAAAAAAAAAAAAAAAAAAAAAAAAAAAAAAAAAAAAAAAAAAAAAAAAAAAAAAAAAAAAAAAAAAAAAAAAAAAAAAAAAAAAAAAAAAAAAAAAAAAAAAAAAAAAAAAAAAAAAAAAAAAAAAAAAAAAAAAAAAAAAAAAAAAAAAAAAAAAAAAAAAAAAAAAAAAAAAAAAAAAAAAAAAAAAAAAAAAAAAAAAAAAAAAAAAAAAAAAAAAAAAAAAAAAAAAAAAAAAAAAAAAAAAAAAAAAAAAAAAAAAAAAAAAAAAAAAAAAAAAAAAAAAAAAAAAAAAAAAAAAAAAAAAAAAAAAAAAAAAAAAAAAAAAAAAAAAAAAAAAAAAAAAAAAAAAAAAAAAAAAAAAAAAAAAAAAAAAAAAAAAAAAAAAAAAAAAAAAAAAAAAAAAAAAAAAAAAAAAAAAAAAAAAAAAAAAAAAAAAAAAAAAAAAAAAAAAAAAAAAAAAAAAAAAAAAAAAAAAAAAAAAAAAAAAAAAAAAAAAAAAAAAAAAAAAAAAAAAAAAAAAAAAAAAAAAAAAAAAAAAAAAAAAAAAAAAAAAAAAAAAAAAAAAAAAAAAAAAAAAAAAAAAAAAAAAAAAAAAAAAAAAAAAAAAAAAAAAAAAAAAAAAAAAAAAAAAAAAAAAAAAAAAAAAAAAAAAAAAAAAAAAAAAAAAAAAAAAAAAAAAAAAAAAAAAAAAAAAAAAAAAAAAAAAAAAAAAAAAAAAAAAAAAAAAAAAAAAAAAAAAAAAAAAAAAAAAAAAAAAAAAAAAAAAAAAAAAAAAAAAAAAAAAAAAAAAAAAAAAAAAAAAAAAAAAAAAAAAAAAAAAAAAAAAAAAAAAAAAAAAAAAAAAAAAAAAAAAAAAAAAAAAAAAAAAAAAAAAAAAAAAAAAAAAAAAAAAAAAAAAAAAAAAAAAAAAAAAAAAAAAAAAAAAAAAAAAAAAAAAAAAAAAAAAAAAAAAAAAAAAAAAAAAAAAAAAAAAAAAAAAAAAAAAAAAAAAAAAAAAAAAAAAAAAAAAAAAAAAAAAAAAAAAAAAAAAAAAAAAAAAAAAAAAAAAAAAAAAAAAAAAAAAAAAAAAAAAAAAAAAAAAAAAAAAAAAAAAAAAAAAAAAAAAAAAAAAAAAAAAAAAAAAAAAAAAAAAAAAAAAAAAAAAAAAAAAAAAAAAAAAAAAAAAAAAAAAAAAAAAAAAAAAAAAAAAAAAAAAAAAAAAAAAAAAAAAAAAAAAAAAAAAAAAAAAAAAAAAAAAAAAAAAAAAAAAAAAAAAAAAAAAAAAAAAAAAAAAAAAAAAAAAAAAAAAAAAAAAAAAAAAAAAAAAAAAAAAAAAAAAAAAAAAAAAAAAAAAAAAAAAAAAAAAAAAAAAAAAAAAAAAAAAAAAAAAAAAAAAAAAAAAAAAAAAAAAAAAAAAAAAAAAAAAAAAAAAAAAAAAAAAAAAAAAAAAAAAAAAAAAAAAAAAAAAAAAAAAAAAAAAAAAAAAAAAAAAAAAAAAAAAAAAAAAAAAAAAAAAAAAAAAAAAAAAAAAAAAAAAAAAAAAAAAAAAAAAAAAAAAAAAAAAAAAAAAAAAAAAAAAAAAAAAAAAAAAAAAAAAAAAAAAAAAAAAAAAAAAAAAAAAAAAAAAAAAAAAAAAAAAAAAAAAAAAAAAAAAAAAAAAAAAAAAAAAAAAAAAAAAAAAAAAAAAAAAAAAAAAAAAAAAAAAAAAAAAAAAAAAAAAAAAAAAAAAAAAAAAAAAAAAAAAAAAAAAAAAAAAAAAAAAAAAAAAAAAAAAAAAAAAAAAAAAAAAAAAAAAAAAAAAAAAAAAAAAAAAAAAAAAAAAAAAAAAAAAAAAAAAAAAAAAAAAAAAAAAAAAAAAAAAAAAAAAAAAAAAAAAAAAAAAAAAAAAAAAAAAAAAAAAAAAAAAAAAAAAAAAAAAAAAAAAAAAAAAAAAAAAAAAAAAAAAAAAAAAAAAAAAAAAAAAAAAAAAAAAAAAAAAAAAAAAAAAAAAAAAAAAAAAAAAAAAAAAAAAAAAAAAAAAAAAAAAAAAAAAAAAAAAAAAAAAAAAAAAAAAAAAAAAAAAAAAAAAAAAAAAAAAAAAAAAAAAAAAAAAAAAAAAAAAAAAAAAAAAAAAAAAAAAAAAAAAAAAAAAAAAAAAAAAAAAAAAAAAAAAAAAAAAAAAAAAAAAAAAAAAAAAAAAAAAAAAAAAAAAAAAAAAAAAAAAAAAAAAAAAAAAAAAAAAAAAAAAAAAAAAAAAAAAAAAAAAAAAAAAAAAAAAAAAAAAAAAAAAAAAAAAAAAAAAAAAAAAAAAAAAAAAAAAAAAAAAAAAAAAAAAAAAAAAAAAAAAAAAAAAAAAAAAAAAAAAAAAAAAAAAAAAAAAAAAAAAAAAAAAAAAAAAAAAAAAAAAAAAAAAAAAAAAAAAAAAAAAAAAAAAAAAAAAAAAAAAAAAAAAAAAAAAAAAAAAAAAAAAAAAAAAAAAAAAAAAAAAAAAAAAAAAAAAAAAAAAAAAAAAAAAAAAAAAAAAAAAAAAAAAAAAAAAAAAAAAAAAAAAAAAAAAAAAAAAAAAAAAAAAAAAAAAAAAAAAAAAAAAAAAAAAAAAAAAAAAAAAAAAAAAAAAAAAAAAAAAAAAAAAAAAAAAAAAAAAAAAAAAAAAAAAAAAAAAAAAAAAAAAAAAAAAAAAAAAAAAAAAAAAAAAAAAAAAAAAAAAAAAAAAAAAAAAAAAAAAAAAAAAAAAAAAAAAAAAAAAAAAAAAAAAAAAAAAAAAAAAAAAAAAAAAAAAAAAAAAAAAAAAAAAAAAAAAAAAAAAAAAAAAAAAAAAAAAAAAAAAAAAAAAAAAAAAAAAAAAAAAAAAAAAAAAAAAAAAAAAAAAAAAAAAAAAAAAAAAAAAAAAAAAAAAAAAAAAAAAAAAAAAAAAAAAAAAAAAAAAAAAAAAAAAAAAAAAAAAAAAAAAAAAAAAAAAAAAAAAAAAAAAAAAAAAAAAAAAAAAAAAAAAAAAAAAAAAAAAAAAAAAAAAAAAAAAAAAAAAAAAAAAAAAAAAAAAAAAAAAAAAAAAAAAAAAAAAAAAAAAAAAAAAAAAAAAAAAAAAAAAAAAAAAAAAAAAAAAAAAAAAAAAAAAAAAAAAAAAAAAAAAAAAAAAAAAAAAAAAAAAAAAAAAAAAAAAAAAAAAAAAAAAAAAAAAAAAAAAAAAAAAAAAAAAAAAAAAAAAAAAAAAAAAAAAAAAAAAAAAAAAAAAAAAAAAAAAAAAAAAAAAAAAAAAAAAAAAAAAAAAAAAAAAAAAAAAAAAAAAAAAAAAAAAAAAAAAAAAAAAAAAAAAAAAAAAAAAAAAAAAAAAAAAAAAAAAAAAAAAAAAAAAAAAAAAAAAAAAAAAAAAAAAAAAAAAAAAAAAAAAAAAAAAAAAAAAAAAAAAAAAAAAAAAAAAAAAAAAAAAAAAAAAAAAAAAAAAAAAAAAAAAAAAAAAAAAAAAAAAAAAAAAAAAAAAAAAAAAAAAAAAAAAAAAAAAAAAAAAAAAAAAAAAAAAAAAAAAAAAAAAAAAAAAAAAAAAAAAAAAAAAAAAAAAAAAAAAAAAAAAAAAAAAAAAAAAAAAAAAAAAAAAAAAAAAAAAAAAAAAAAAAAAAAAAAAAAAAAAAAAAAAAAAAAAAAAAAAAAAAAAAAAAAAAAAAAAAAAAAAAAAAAAAAAAAAAAAAAAAAAAAAAAAAAAAAAAAAAAAAAAAAAAAAAAAAAAAAAAAAAAAAAAAAAAAAAAAAAAAAAAAAAAAAAAACCTCAGACAGTACATTAATATTTAACCTTTGGCATAATTTTATTGGAAAATGTAAATTAAATTACTTATAAAAAGTATATTGTAATATTATTTGATATATTTTTTCCTATATTACTAGTTTATTATAAACTAGCAGACCCCGCCACGCGTTGTTGTGGCTCAAAATGTATCTATTATAAGTGTATAACACTTCCCCCATGGGGGGAATTTTTCGAAAAATTTCTTCTTAGTGTATATTCTGTTGACGTACCCTATTAAAACGCAATCAAAAATGCAAAAACCCGCATCTAAAATAGTATAATAGAAGCCAAGTTCTTCATGGTAAGCCTTAATCCTGTCCCTCTCCCCCAAGGGGGGAATACCGAAAAATCCCTTCTTAGTATACATTTTGTTGACGTACCCTATTAAAGCGCAATCAAAAACGCAAAAACCCGCATCTAAAATAGTATAAATAGAAGCAGAGTTCTTTATGGTAAGCATTAATCCTAACCATCTCCCAGGGGGAATTTCAACATGTATATTATATAAAAACATGTGCGTATTCCAATGTAGCATTGTGTCAAAATTTCAAAGGAATCGGTAGGAACAAACGAACATTACATTTTTATTTATATAGATAGATAGATAGATGATCTGCTTTAGTTCATTTTCACAGAAAAGCAAACTTAGGGTGTCGTACTCATAGTACCATCTGTTGGACATAAAAGCCTTAACCTAGATGATATCTTTTAATTTATATGAATGTTTAACGGAATAATATACAGCCTATGTCCATCCTGAAGTTCCATTCTAAATATTGGTGAAAGAATTTTTGAAATCGGATGAGTAGTTTCGGAGATTACCCGCTACATCCAAACTTACTTACTTACAAACATTACCTCTTTATAATATTAGTATAGATATAAATTTGTAAATACCATTGATTTTACTGCATCTTGGCTTTTATAAAATTTCTGCTGACTAAGATGCTTTGCTTCTTTTAATAATTTTAATAATTTAACTGCCCTTTCATGAGTTTGATCAACACTATCACCATCTATAAAAAATAAAGTATACTACATTAAAAATGCATTATATTTATGAGCACTTAATAGTAATTATGCTACTAAATAAATAATATTTAAAATATAAATCATGTAATCCATTATATATATAAAAAAAGATGTTATACAAAAAGTATGTTCAATCCTGGAGGTTAGATTTGAGATTAAGATTAATTTGAGTTTTTGTATTTAAATGGAACATTCTGAACATTTAAAAGATAAGTGTAATATTCTTTTAGGTCAACATTTTATATAAAAATTATAACCGTGCATCTGATGAATGTTTATTTTAAAATAAAAGCATTAAGTCTATTCAAAGTAAAATTTTTCAAATGTTTGTTTGTTTAGTTATGGCAATGCAACACTTGGGTGATCTGCCTAGGGGGATGTTTCCTTCCAGGAGGTCTTTTTAAAGGAAACTGGTTCCTATTTAGGCATTACAGACATGGAGAAAACCTGGAAAACTCCACATGGCCAGCCCGTCCGACCGAGGTGCAAACTAATGACTGAACTCCCAGTGTTCAGGATAAAAAGATCACTTGGCCACTTTTGGTGGGCCATTTTTCAAATGTATTTTGGTTTCTAAGAATATTTTTCTTTATAAAAGGAAACAATTTTTTTGTTTCTGAACTCTCACATTACTTGTTCAAATCAAAGCACATAAATATAATAAGTAATTATTCAAACTAAAGTTCAAGTTGCAGTAATTTAATAATGTAAATTTGTGGGTTAAATTTATCCATTTTCAATAGAAATTATTTATTTTACTTAAAAATTCTTTCAAAAATATTTTTGATATAATCTTAATTCAAATACTAAGTAATTATTTTTATTAAGAGAGTAAAAAGAAGAAAAGTTTGCATTTGCTTTTCCATATTTCAAATGTATGTTTCTTTTTTCTTTCATTTCAGTTTAATATTAAATATAAAACATTAAATATTACATATTATATGTAATATATACATCATATTATAAAAATAATATTTCTAAACTGGAAATAAATAAATTTGTTACATTGAATGAAAAATATTATATGTATATTTTCTTTAATTTAAAATTTTTTAATAAGTTACAGTATGATCTTTTGAAATAAAATGATTTTTGATAAACAACAGAAAAATGTAATTAGTTTGATAACAAGTAAATTATCATATTTCTAATATTCTGCCTTTTGAAATATGTTATTTTATTGACAACTTGTAGTCCGAATTTGATATGTAGTAATTCAAATAAAGATTTTTTCTGTTAAATCTGCTTTTGTTTTGAGTAATTTATTGATCAAACTAATAATAATAATTTAATAATTTTCAACAACTTTTTAAAAGTTTTGTTTCCTGAAAGAGTCTACAGGTATCTATTGTGCTCTTTTTTGTTACAAATATTTGAATTTTGAAATAGTAATTCATAGATAAGATCAATGCTTCTGAGTTAATTAACAAATCTGATTTTTAAAAATAATTCCTAATTGTCCACAATCATGGATCTTAATTTCTCCCTTTTATTCTTATTTAATGAATTTATTCTTGTGTGTTAAAATATAAAATTATCCTGCTATAAGTTATGGACACTTACAGCATTTCTTTATATTCATTTTATAGAATAAATAGATAATTTTTAAGATTTATATTTTAAAAAATCAATGCTAAGGCTATTAATTAAAATACAAAACTTTTATATTTTTAATGAGTCATATTAAGATTCAATATATATCATCTGATAAGAAAATGTAAAATAAACAATCTTGAAGAGAATGTTTTATTCAAATTTTAAGTGGTAAGAAATACATTGAAAACAGTATCAGTTTCATGTAGTGAAAAAATATTGTCTGTAAAATCTTAAGTGCAATCTTTATTTAGTATTGTGTATATTTATTAATCCTCAACAGTTCAAATTTTCCAAAATTCCAAGTTATCTGAATTTAATCTAGTTTCAAAATCCAGATTAACGAGATTCTACTACATGAAATACTCATATATACATTTGATATTTTATATAATACTAAATGAAGTGCTGCAAATATTTATTTTTCACAATACTATATTTAATTTTATTTTTCTTAGTCTATATCAGTTAGACAAATAAGACAAATATACTTGAGGGCTTATCACATTGGTGTGATAAGCCCTCAAGTATATTTGTCTAATTGATATAGACTAAGAAAAATAAAACAATGTTAAGGGCTAAAAGCAATAGATTGCTCAATTGAATTATATTTAATGTAGTAATATTTTTCTTTATATTTTAGACAACTGTAGCCACTAAAATATATTATTGATTTAATCTTTCTGTATAGTAAATTTATGTGAAAATGATATTATAAAATGATATTTGGAATTAATCATATCTGTAATACTTAATATTTAAAATTAGTTATAAGAAAACATTACCTTGTCCTAGGACATATTTCTGTAAACAAGCACAAGGTTTAATTTTGAATTCTGGACAAAATAAACGTTCAGCATCTCTATCATGCAATGTATCAACTAATGATAATGAAAAAGCTTTAGCTTCTTGGAAATACTTTTCTTTTTCTTCAGGAGTAGGGCCCTGTTTAAATATTACACACAAAAATAATTTATTTATTTTAAATTGTATTTAATCTTTAACTATCTTCATATAAATATTGTTTGAAGATGCAAAACAAAGAAATAATATACTGATAAACAATAATCTATATATGTATATATATACAGAATATGCTTTTGTGAAATCTGTTTTGTGAAATCCATCTATTTTACTGTTTAATCTCATTTGAAATAATCAGAAGCAAAACTATGCCTAATTCTGCTATTCTATAGTGGTGCTCTTCCCTGCCATTCCAACTATTGAACTTCCTCTGTCCAGTATAAGCTAACTTCTTAAACTGACATTCTTCTTAACACAATTTCTGTAATAATTGTCACACAATCATGGATCTTCTTGGATTCACATCACAATCATGGATTCACACAATCATGGATGACATTCTTCTGTTGATTTCCAATAATTTTTTAGTTTTCATTGAGTTCTAATTAGTTTTTAATTTTACATTACAGTAGAGCATCAATTATCTGAAAAAATTCAGGACTGGGGTTGTTTGGATAACTGATCATGTATGAAAAAATATATTAAACACAAAACTATACTGTGTATATTTCTATCACACATCTTACAAATACACCCCTTACATAAAGTAGTATATTAAAGTAGGCCTATGTTTAGGTTCACAGGGAGGAAGAGATTGCTGCAGCACCACAGCACAAGCGGAAATTTGAATTTGCCAACTGGAATGCTTTCAGTTAACCAATGTTTTGGTGGATTGGTATTTGAATTAATCAATGCTCTACTGTATTAACAAAAAATTATTCTGAATTATTTCTTTATGAAAGGAACATTAATCGACACAAACAATTGTCTTATTAGACCACTTTATTTCATTAATGTCATATAAATATCAAACTGACATTATTAATGATGAAAATACTTGTTTCACTGTTTAATAAAAAGTTTTTTCATGTTTAATGTTGCTTGACTGTAACTTCTATTTTACAGTCTTCATTCTTTTTGGATCCAACAAAATTTGATAATTGAATCTTGTTTAATGTAGGTATATAGCCAAGATCAATTGTTTAAGATCTTCAATAGATTAAAAAGATGTATCATAAATTTTAACAGAAAGCTGTGAATATTTCCTATGGAAAAAAGCTAGTTACTTGTATATATTAAAGTTTTTCAATAAACTATTATGATTTAAATGTTTTATTACAGACTTGCCTTCTTTTTTTGATTTTTCTTGCTTTTATCGTTGATAGCCAATCCGCATCCCACACACAAAAGTAACATTCGATTAGATTCGGAGTCAAAATAATATCTTGGAAATGATGATTGCTGAGATTTTTTCCTAACTTTTCTGTAAGATAGAATGTAATTTTATCAATTTATAACTGCAGAAACACTTCAGAAACAGATTCAAATCATTAATTTATAATAAAAATTAAAATATAATATCTAGAGCAATAAATATTGATGAGTAACATCAATTATAAAATATCAACTTTGATAATTAATAGGAATTTAATAATTTAAGTTAAAAGTATTTCAAATTTCCTAATTATTAATCTTAATGATACATAGTAACATATATATCTACTGTATATTCTTAATAAATGAATCATTAATTAACTAAATTAATTCAATTACAATGAGTTCTGACACAAGCTACTGTTACAAATTAATGAATGAAATCATGAAGGATGAATTGATAATAATAAAAATTGTGTTATCCCTAAGGCTAATCAAAAGTTTATTAATTAAGACTGGAATAGAGTCAAATTCAGACCTTTTGCAATATTCCACCAAACAACATTGACTCTTTAGATATGCAAAAAAGGAGTGGGGAAGGCCTTGCAAAGAGAATTTCAAGGGTTCAAAAAAAGATTTTGCTTTAGAATCTGATTTATTACAGGAAGATGTGCAAGAGGAGCTAAGACAATATACAGAAAGTCAAAAAGGTTCTAATATACAAGATTATTTTGACCCTTTGGAAGAACCAGTAACTGATACAGACCTAAATTCTGAATACTGTACATGTTATAATCATTATTCAGCGTAATCCAGGTACATTTTTCTTGATTAAATAATGAATTTAAAATTATAAGATACAAAATACAGTTTTTGTAAACAAAAAATATACGTTCTTTGAGAAGAATTAAAGAATTTTGCAAATAGATTGGAGGAAGTTGAAACTATCATTAAAAAGTCAAGGTCAGATGAGAGAGGTTTGAATTTCAGCTAGCTAAACTGCTTAATGAAAGATTTACTAAAAATATAATAATACAATGACAATCTCCATTAACAGAAAGACAAAAGATGATAATATTAATGTACAAATATAAACACCAACCAAAACCCAATGCATAGCAAATGGACACCCACAACTGCCGTAAAATTTGAGGGTGTATATTTATACCTTGCCAGGTATGCGATGGCTGAATGAGTGCCTTGAGTGGATGTTTCTGGATGAAGGTGCAAATGCCTCTCCAGTTGGTATCATAATAACTGGTTATATCTAACACTTATATATACTGGAAGAGGAGATCGAACCAAAGGTCCAGGTAGCGTAACTATCAATGCATCCGCACAGTAAGCGGGAGTGTGGGTTCGAGTCCCACTTCGAGCCGATTCTTTTCTTCCAGCTTAATCTAAATTATTTAATTAAATATTATAATTATTAATTTTAATACAAGATGGCACCTAACGCCTCCCTCCCTCTTGTGTCAAATTCATTTGTAATTCTTAATTAATATTTTCAAATTATAGCCTGATTATTTATGGCATTTGTGAGTGTCTATTTAATATTAATGTACAGTAGTCCCTCGTATAATGTACTTAATTCGTTCCAAGTGCATGTCCGTTAAGTGAAAAGTCCATTATACGAAACACATATAATTCATTCCACAGCATAAAATAACCATACCATAAAAAAATGAAAATGGAGCAGTCACCAATTATGCTGGGTAGTCAGATGATGTGAGGTGGAGGTGGAGGTGGAGGAACACTTTCTTCACACATTCATACAGATACAGATTTTTTACATATTGCAGCGGGTCTTTTTTTTATTGTTTTTTAATCGGATTCAGATTCAGGAGAGGCTACCGGAGCTTGCAGGGTCAACTCCTCTTGTTCCATCCTTTGTTTTTTCCCTGCTGGATTCTTGAAAAACATGTCCAAGATGGTCTGTTTCTCTCTCTTCTTCAACACCTGTCAGAAATAATGGGCAAAGGTGTCATTGTAGAGATCATTGATCCTGTTGGCCTCAACTGTGTTTGGATAATGAGTGTTGGGAAACTCCTGAACCTCTCCTCATTTGACAAGGAAGTTTTTGTCAACTTTCACTCCTTCTGATGATTTCTTGTATTGTTTCAATTGAAATCACTTTTCTATTTTTTTAGAAGCCATGATTTGCACAACACTTGAATAAATGTAAATACCCTGCACTGAGGTGATGTACGTAATAAACAAGGGAGCAAGCCGAATCCCAACGGGAGCTCTGTACTTCAGATATACTAATAATATATTCTAATAATACTAATATATTATAAAAATAGCAGATTGTCATTGGCAAAGGCAAAAGAGTGGAAACATCATTCGCATTTGTTCGCAGATAGTCCATTGTTCGCAGCCAGTCTGTTGCTCAAGTCACGTAACGGCCAAACAGAAAGTCCGTTATTCACAACGTCGGTTATTCGAGGTGTACGTTATACGAGGCACCACTGTACCTGGAATTTTTTGAGGTTTGAATTAACTAATTTGCAGGTAACACAATTGGAAGCTAAGGATAACAGGAACAAAAAAGATTATTTTAAGAGCAACTCAAATAATTTAATTATGGAAAGCCAATTTGAGATACTTGTAATTTACAGCTAATAAGCTGCCAAAACATTCAAGACCTACAGAATAAATTATATAGTTGGTCAATTCAGAATTATATTAAAAAGAATTTTATAATTGGTTTTATAAAATGAATAAAGTGTTTAAAAGAAGAAGATATTCTCTATCTAGGAGCAAGATCATTATATAGTATTAAAAGATGCATTAAAAGAATCAAAATTTGGATGAGCTTCTGGAAGCTTTATGTTACTAATTAGGAAAAACATTAGTCAAAATTGTGAGAAGCCAAAAAAAAAATAATAGTTTTTTTTTTTTTCGTTTCTACTTTTCTTAATGAATCGATAGTCAATAATAAGTAATTTATGAATTCTCCTTGAAATTTTAATGTCCATGTAGCTGAACAAATGAACTTCATACATAAAGAAGACAACAAAGCTATTAAAAAACATATGTATATCAAAAGATAGAAAATGTAATGAAAATAGCATTAACTCTTAATTATAAAATTTGCTTAGAATAATCTAAACATTAAATGGGAAAATAACAGGTGATGTTCCCATTAAATATACTTTTCTGGCACATAATGACAAATCAATTGTCAACTATATTCTCTGTTCAGAATATCTAGTTGGATTTTGTAGGATAATGATGGTAAAGGATCAGGATATTTCAGACCATTTTCTGGTATAATTAGAACTTTTGGAGTCTTTAAAGGAAGATACTATTGTAAAGAATTTGATAGAAAATAAAAACATACTACTAGCTGAAATAGAGACAGTTTCCTGTGAACTGGTATCATATGAGTCTTACAAAAGTTTGCTTGAAAATTGTGATAACATAATCTCTTTATTTACTTCATAATGCTATAAAAATCTGAAAAGCAATGAGAGATTATTTCTTGCAGAATCATCACAATGCCAAGCTGTAATTTTTAATCATATTTTTAATCTATACAGTAGACCCCCCTATAACGCTTAGATACGTTCCACGCTAATCGAATTTTACATTGTAGGAATGATTAAATACATGAGCCAATCGCAGCCCGATAGGTGGGAACTTTACGGACTAAGGCTGTTCGAAAGGTTTTCTTCTATAAAATTAACTGATTCTAGACTAATTCCACTCAACATTTCCAAAACACGCATAATTTTTTGGGAGTAATCTGTATAAACTATGCTATAAACAAAAAATTATAGGATTACTTACCGAGTGTGTACCGTTCGACTACGCCCGTTGTTCAAAGCTTGTCTTCGTCGCGGAACAGCACACGAAACGGCGGCCGCGATTTCTGATAACGAATTTTTCGCAGAAAAATAACTTGACCTTTGGAGACATCATTAATATAAATAATTTTTATGGCCGTTGAATAAGAAGTGTTTCTTTCACAAGAAATGTATAAAATTAGTGCTGTATTAGACTTACGGTACCTAATTTACATACTGTACAGACGATAATAAACTCAACTTACTAGCCTAAAATCTCCGTAGCGTGTTGCCAGGCGGCAGAAAGCATATATATAATTATAATAAAGTTACAATAAATTAAGTTAATATATAATTATATATACAGTACCTAATTTATATATAATTAATATATAATTATATGTACAGTACCTAATTTATATATAATTTATATATAATACTAAACAGACGATAGCAAACTCAATTTAGCCGCTCCGTAGCGTGGCGCAGGGTCGGAGGAAAGTAGTTCGGCTGCTCATCCACTATTGGTCCAGATTCTATCAATCTCGTTGCGAAACGACGTTATAGGAGGTATTTTATACGAATGTTGCTACAATTTTTTCGCTACGTTATAGGAATTGTCGTTATAGGAACGCACGTTATAGGGGGGTCAACTGTATATATAAAATTGCTTGTCCTGACTGACTGATTCATTCACTCACTGATTCATCATCGCCCAGAGCAAACCGCTGAACCTAAAGAGGTGAAATTTGGTACACAGTTAGGGTACGTCATGAAAACGCTCACTAAGAAGGGATTTTTCGAAATTCCCCCGCAGGGGGTAGAGGGAGAGGATTAAGGCTTAACTGGAAAAACGGCTTCTACTGTACTATTTTAGATGCAATTTTTTGTTTTTATCTGCATTTTAGTAGGGTATGCCATGGGAATGCACAATAAGACAGGATTTTTCAAAATTCCCCCATGGGGGAGAGGGAGAGGATTAAGGCTTAACCGGAAGAACCGCTTCTACTGCACTATTTTAGACGCAATTTTTTGTTTTTATCTGCGTTTTAGTAGGGTATGCCATCGGAATGCACAATAAGACGGGATTTTTCAAAATTCTTCCGTGGGGGGGAGAGAGAGATGATTAAGGCTTAACTGGAAGAACCGCTTCTACTGCATTATTTTAGATGCAATGTTTTTGTTTTTATCTGCGTTTTAGTAGGGTATGCCATGGCAATGCACACTAAGAAGGGATTTTTCGAAATTCCCCCACGGGGGGAAAGGGAGAGGATTAAGTCTTAACCGGAAGAACGGCTTCTACTGTACTATTTTAGATGCAATTTTTTGTTTTTATCTGTGTTTTAGTAGGGTATACCATGGGAATGCACACTAAGAAGGGATTTTTCGAAATTCCCCCTCGGGGGAGAGGGAGAGGATTTAGTCTTCATCGAGTACTCAGGTGTATTAAATTAATAACATTTCAGACATTGTTACAAATATTTTTATCTTTTTCGATTTTAAAAATGTTCGAACCGTTTTAAATTTGAATTTGTTATTGCATATTGGTTTGATTATAGAACAATTGTAAACGTTCCAGAAAATTGATCAAATTGAAAATAGTTCATTTGATTCTCGGCAATTCTCATCATTCTCAGCAGTAGTTGTTATATAACAATTACTATGGTTGTTGAAATACTGAATATAAATGGGGTTTGCTTGCAAAACTTTTGCGGGCGAAGTCGCGGGTAACAGCTAGTATAATATATATTCTCTCCACTTCAAATTAGTAATGTCTTGCCCCTGTACATCATACTTTTCTGTTAGCAATAGAGTTGTGCCAGTCATCTATCTAACTCCTTTCAGGGGAAAATTTTTGAATTGAAATATTGAAATAACATGACTTCTGGTTTGCACCAGAAGTTCATATATAGTTAATTGGGGCCTCCTGCCCCTAATCTTTCCATATCTGGTCTAGGCTTTCATCTAGCTAACTCCATTCTTGAGATTAAAGAAAGACAGACGGACAGTGGGAATTTATAGGTCTATAATTTTCTCAAATTGCAGCCCAATAATAATTCTTGATATAAAAAATAATGGCCCAACAGTGTTACTATTATAAAATATAAAAGCAAAATAGTATAAAGAAAAAATATCTAATTAAGTAGTGATAATTTTAAATTGTATAAGACCTTTGACAAGCATAGTTTTGCAATGAGCCTACTTTATATAACTTTATATAATGTAAAGCCTGTATCGCACAGAACATACAAAGTCTAAGATCCCAGCTAATACCAGATTCTGAGAAATAGATTTAAGACCACACATTGATAAGAGTATATTATGGGCACAGTCTGGTAAAGTGGCTTCATACAACTGGACAAGCAAGTCAATGACAAAGCCCATTCAATTTGAAATAGGCTATGTCATTGGCTTGCTTATCAGCTCTATTAAAGCCACTTTATTGCTTTATTATGCACCCCATACTCCTGAGAAGAAGAAGTAAAATTGCAGATCGGAATGAAGTGGTTGGGACCTTATCAGAGCAGTAGATCGTGCCTATAGAAGTAAAAAAGAGTCAATGAAACCAACGATCACTATTCATGAGATATAGCCCCCAATATCAACCTATAAACATGAGATAGGCTTAATCAAGTACACAGTAAAACTGATCACACCCCGAAATAGTTGGTGCAATGGTGTTTATTGTTTTATGAGCTTTTAGCCACCTCTAGTAAAGTCAAAATTGGTTGATGTTTTTAGCTTTCTTTGAGAAATAGTTCTGGATTTTTTCATCTTTAAATTTTAGCCCATTTTTGAGGGTCCTTAAAATTCTAGATAGGCCAATATCAGAGGGGGGCAATATCTCACAAAGAGTCACACATAGACTATTGATTCCTTTGACTTTTTACTCCTAGGGGCACGATCTACAGCTCTGATAAGGTCCCAACCACTACATTGCCCGGTGAAGTGCCTTTAGTAGGCAATGAACCCAATTCTATCCAATGAACTATACAGTAAATAACTAGCCCTCACAAAATTTGTCACTATTTTACACAGAATGACATAAAAGTTTTGCCATAATCAAGAAAGTTTGGTAAGATGCGAACTCCAAATAAAGGATTTGCCACCCCGTAGACCAAAAAACAGTCGATGGAACCATACCCGTAAACATGACCCTCGGTGAGACAACCACCTCCAAAGGTTGATTTTTATCACGAACCAGTATACTGCCCATTCTCCACACTCCGTATCAATCAAGGCTTGCTCCATACGTAATTGCACACTTTGGTGCTCACATCTCAGCACCCACTGAAACTATAACTTCCGTATCAAGCCGAGGGTTGGTTCCTCCAATGTCTTTGCTCCCACAGACCCAATTGCTGGCGTAATTGTACCGAACGGTTACACATTTCTTCTCCACACCGTTAATATTAAGAAAGAACCCGAAATTTACAAGTCACGTGTATCAAATGCAAGAAGATTTACTTACTTGTAAGAATTTACAATAAATAAAGACTTGCATTTATTACAATACAAAGGCTTTCTGTTCGATTTATTGTCCAACAGAGGTGCATTTCGCTCTTTGTTTACAGATTTTCTTTGCTTTTTGATGTTGTTCTGTTTAACAATCGGCTCGGGTGAATAATTTCTCTTTCTTTTGACGGATCTTTCGCTTCTTCTAATTAAATTCACTTCTTCCGATGACATTCCGAACTCCATTCGTCACCGATCCACAAAATGTAAACAAAACTTTCGCCATTCAGGGGGAAAAACGTGGGGGAATCGAATTCTTTACGCGATTTTTACTTCAAACAAATTCATTTCTCTCGAAAAAATCCTCAAACACATCATCGTTTTCACTTTCTTTAAGGTGTTTTACACAATTCAAGCTATCCGAGTTAATTATTTATAAATTTAAAGTCGTTTTAAATACCAAAAACTAGATTATTCATGACATTTTTCCAACTAGTTTCTGAATTTCTGCTGGACAGTGATTTAGGGTTGGTTTTAGGGAATTTTCGCTTATTTTTGTCGTCTCTTATCGTTCTTGGGGAAAATACGTTAAAGTCGCGTAAATTCATCCAGAACGAGTTATTAGGGAAAAAATCTGATACGAAATAGAATCGAATCACTATTAAAATTAATT